GCTTGTACAGCAAAGGTGAGCCAAGTGTTTTTTACTCCATTTCTTTTAATAATATCTAGGCTTTGCTCAGTGAACACTTTTAATGCTCAGCACTATTTGCTTACCAACTAACATTACTTGTCAGTGATTAAAGGTTGTATTGATGAAGCAGCATTTCATAACCGTTGTTTAAATCCCTTAACTTTTGCTTACTGCAACTGTTGCCAGTTTGGCATAGCGTGTATAGAATAAATTTCAGTTGGAACAGATTAATGCACGAAGAAAAGAGTTAGATGATATGAGAGACAATTTGTATGCCCAGCTGAAAGAAATCTTAATGAAAAATGACGGAAGTAAAGCGCTGCAAGACGAACTGTTGAAGGAGCTGATGAAAAAGCACAATGTAACGCTATCATATTTATCTGGCCTTTGTCTTGCTGATAGAACTATTTTTGTCTTTATTATCTGGGGATATTATATTTAAAAAAACATGTCTTTACAGATTTTCCCAAAAGCTGGGATTCTACAAGAAAGGCAAGGCGGAACAGACAGTTCAGTTATGCATAGTGCTGCTGTACTGTCATCTAATACTCGATGACTTACTTTGTAGTGTCAGAAAATATTTTGTGCAGGTTAGAGTTTGCTTTAGTTGGAGTGTTTAGTTCTTTCAACCATTACAGAAGCAAAACAAGTTTTAAAAAAACTAAAAATTTGCATCGGTTGCAAGCTGTAAGGCACAATTTAGATGACAAGATGATGTAAACGTTCAAATTTCTCTCTAGCAACAGAGTAATACTAATAATTTTGAGTTAGAATTAAAGTTTATGACCACACATCCGCTTGATAACGTCTTTGTTTCTCCAGTTCCTCCTGATATTTTGAAGCGTTTTCATTACCTCCTACGTTTGTATATATTTCCAATAGGGTATTTTGAACATCCCGAGCCATGTTACGTGCATCTCTATAATGCAAAGAAGTTGCTTATAAATGAGTTGAGAAACAAGCTGAAGCAGCTACCAAAAAACCACTTACCCGCAGACGTAGACGTACGCTCCACTCCCTAAGTACTTCCATATTTTCTCGCGATTCTCCCATAATTTATGTTGTACATAGATCTGCAGATTTGAAATTTGTCTTTTTCTATGAGTATGTATATAACAAAGTTATATTGAATGTGAAAGCCTCTTGATCTATCATGCACACCTTTTTGTCCGTGATTCTTGAAAAAGCCAAGTTTAGTTCGGTAAGTACGCCTTCTTTTACGTATGCTTCCAACTCTTCTTTATAAATATAGTCTTGGTCTG